GTTGATGGACTATATGGAACTGGCGGAAATGACTGGCAGAATTCGAGACCAGGGAGAAGAGTCGGTGGAAGAGGATTGGGAAAAATTTAAAGTATACTTACAGAAACATTGTAAAATTAATGAGTGTTAGAAGGATGCGGGAATGAATTAACATGGTTTTAGTAGAAATGCAACAAAGAATTAAGTAAAAGTTTATTGATATTGGGTTAAATTGAAAAAAATCTAAGGTTAGATCGTTAAAACTATAGAATCAAAATTGAGAAAGATGGGAAGAACTTGCTGAAATAGTGAATTGAACTAGAATACAAATAAAGGGAGGTGTGAGGAGGTCGATGAAACAAGTAAATGAAAGGTAAAGACATGGAATACTGGATGTGTGTTTTAGTTTTCTTTTTTGTCTGTCTTTTTTGCTGTATTGATGTATGGTTTCTATATGTTTTATATGTTTTGTTATTGTTCTTTTTCTTTTTTATTGTTCTTTTTTTTCTTCTTTTTTCTGTAATTATTAAACTTTTAATAAATATCATTTAAAGAAAAAAGAAAAAAAAGAAGAGAAAAAAAGGAAAATAAATAAATAAATAAAGCGATGCACCAGAAGCCAGAAACAGAGATTGCTCAGATGATTAAGCCTTGCCAGAATATTGACATTGAGACTCACAAATCTGCCCTCCTAGCAGCAGCTTTGTCTCCTTCAGTTCATCCTGCTAAAGACAGGCAATGCCACTGACAGGTGGCCTTCCAGTCTGGGTTAAATGGGAGAACAAAGACTGTTGTGCCAGCTGATTGTCAGTCTTCCACATTAGCAAAGACGGTTGCTTTTAACACACTGTCTCCTGTGGCAGCTCTGCACCATGCCACTATGGTGGTTTATAAAATTAAGACATAGCATACAGGTCCGATTCCACCTCAGACAGTGAGACTCATTCTTCATTGTTTATTGCAGACTGTTCCTTCTCCTTTCCTCCCTGAACTTAAAATTCCTAATGAATTTACTTTACAGCAGTAGTAGAATTTTGGGGCACTCGTACGTGTGATTTTCCTTAATACATATTTTACCTACAGAACTCCATTTTCCCCCAGACACTGCTGACAGAATAGTGATTTTAGAGTGGCTGCACTCTAATTTGCCTAACACTGAATTTGATATTACTGTTTGTTCAAGCAGTCTGTGTGTATTTTATTATCAGAGTCCAATCCTTCCTTTACTTTGGGAACACCTCACACGGAACTTCCTTCAGCTTCAGTAAGGCCTAGCAGTGCTCTCATTCACCATTTCCGTGCCTGTATAGCTGTAAACCAGAGTTCTCTAAGGCACCACGACGTCTGGAACATCTTAATAGGCTGATCCAGGCTGGCTCGTGTTAATCTGCAAGCAGATGCCTGTATCTGCACTTGGAACATAAGTAGGGTCAAAGGGAGATTGGGAGGCAGAGATCTTGCTTCTCTTACAGGAGCCTCTATTCCCCTTGTGGGGTTGTTGATGGGGTGTGAGCTTGCAAGGCTAAAAGGGAGCTGCTGTGGACTTACCCCTGCTAACTGCCCCCAATTAAATATAGTGGACCCACCGCACAGTACACCAATTAAATGAATTTCTGCAATTTACCATAGGCTATCTTGGGGGGGGGGGCGGTGAGGGAAACTTAGTCAAGAAGTCTCACACAGGAGTTGATCAAGCAAGAAAAGTTTTATTTACAAAAAAAGAGGTTGGTGAAACAAAGTTGGGTCAGGAGATGTGTTCTTTCAGGAAGAAGTTAACATTACCTAAACTAAATACAGTGGTACCTCGGGTTAAGTACTTAATTCGTTCTGGAGGTCCGTTCTTAACCTGAAACTGTTCTTAACCTGAAGCACCACTATAGCTAATGGGGCCTCCCGCGGCACTGCAGCGTCGCAATTTCTGTTCTCATCCTGAAGCAAAGTTCTTAACCCGAGGTAATATTTTTGGGTTAGTGGAGTCTGTAACCTGAAGCGTATGTAACCTGAAGCGTATGTAACCCAAGGTACCACTCTATAAAGGATATCACAGGCTTAAACACAGTTGTATATGCACAGCTTTTCTTACACTTCAGTTACTAAAAAATCACTTGGTACACTTCAGGTACAGTAGGTATTATGAGAATCATAAAGTCTAAGGTATAAAATAAATGTTCATAAATGTACCAAGCAAATACATAAGTATATAAACCATGTGTAGTGAAGTTGGGAAATCTTTGTATGCTGAAACTTTGGTTCATGCAGGAGTGAGGCATTGTGGGAGAGTAAAAACTGTGGAATCCTGGGGAATGTGTATCTGGCTCTTTAATTGTAAAACACTCTGTCTTAGAAGTGTAAATCAAATTGCCTCCTGACTCTAGGCAGGATGCTATGTTATCTGTCCTAGTCTTGTATTCTTTAACACCCTTACATGGGTTTGGGATATACCATATTTTGTGTGCGTCCTATGGAGCGAATGCAGGCTCCTTGGCTTCAGCGATAGCAACGCGAAGCCTCCGAAGCGCAGAGGGAGCGCTCCCAGCCCCACCAGAAGATGCTGGGGACTGAACCTGATGCCTTCTGCATGCTAAGCAGTTGTTCTACCACTGAGCTATGGCCCTAGCTCACAATATTGCTGTCAGGATAAAATGGAGAAGGTGGAGGCTGAAGTGTGTATGCTCTGTGGAGGAAAGGTGGGATAGAAGTATAGACTTCCGGGGTGGCGCCTCCGGAAAATGGCGGAATTCCCTTCGGACTGAAGGGAACCCGCTGCACGGAGGCTTGGGTCCTGCCGCTACGGCGCAGCGGGGACCCGCAAAAACCACAGGCGGAAGAAGCCTGTGGACGTGGGACTCGGCGGGCACCGAGAGCGCGCTCTCCCCTTGTACAGGAGCCCGGTAACGGGCTCCGGAGTGGGAGGTGCGTGGTGCTGTGAGTCGTCTGCTTCCTCCGTGCAGCAAAGCCGCACTGCCGTTATCGGAGAGCGCTGCCTTTTCCTGGACAATTTGGCATCTAAAACATCTATCCGTGAGTACCTGATCTTGGAAGAGCTGAACCACTTTTAAGACTGATGAATAAATAAATAATATTGGACTTGAAATTGAACTTAATTGGGACTCGGAATGGGAAGGTCTAAACAGGAAGTCGCCTTCCGTTCTTTTGTTATGTGAAGAAAGCAAAGACAAAATATACTAAAGCCTGAAAATTAAATTTTAAGAGAACTAGAATTCAACATCTAAGATTCTGAACCCCCCCTTTGACAGCAGGAGAAAAGGGGGTTGTATTTGGACTTTTCAATCCTGCGGAAGTGAGTTTAAAATAAAGCAATTTTCCACCGCCCTGAACCAGGAGCGGGCTGTCAGAATTGACGTTCTGAAGTTTATCCAGCTCGACAGTTAGTTAAAAGAAGGGTAACATTTTGATTCTACTGTTGCCTCTTGAATTTGGAAGGGGGAATTTTGGATAAAGTGTTTCTGGAAAAAGAAAGATTGTTGCTGTTGCTTTTATTCTTTTTTTTTAAAAAAAATCCATCTAGTGGAATTTAGTGAAATTGCAACGCAGAGAGATTAAAAGAGAAGGACTATTGGACTATTCTCGTGGGAAAGAATTTTCTTTGACCTTGAAGGACAATGCTAGTACAAAGGCTGGAACAATTGTTCCTGGAAGGTTTTTCAAAACTAAGTGCCCAGCTGGACCAGATGCGTCAGGAGACGACCTTGAGGATGGAAGCTACCAGAGCACAGCAGCAAACAAATGAAATTCAGTTAAAGGCTATACAAGCATACGAACCTGCTGTAGTGACGGAGGCTTCAGAGATGGAGGGACCTTTGGACGGGCAAGATCAGCCTTTGAACTTGATAAATGAACTTGGGACAAACCAGATTCGGAAAGATGAAATGTGGTTAGATTTGGAAATGGGGGGATGGATCGACCCCCCCTCCATATGGTTATTTGGACCTTCCGAGTCTGGTGATGGGCTATCAGAGGATTGGAGTAGCCGAAGTCTCCAAGCTTTGTGGAAATTTGAAGTGGTATTATTTGCTGTCTGGCTTGGGCAATGGGTTTGGGATGGAATTGTTGCAAAGGGTCAAAAGCATTTTCTTGCTGGAGCATCCACGACTGGAAAGGAATCATCAACAAGAGTGGCGAAAGGGGCAAGAAAGAGACTTGAGGGCCTCGGATACGAGACAACCAGGTTAAGAGCCGGATTACCGAGGTTAAAAGGACTGACAATCCCGGGTCCAGGGGAGGGGAGGTTGGAAGCTGACTGGACTAAATTTGACTTATTATTTTTTCTTTTTTACTTTTTAATATTGGGAATGCTTACAAATGTTTGAAGGATGTTGAATGAAATTACATGACTTAAGTAAGGATTGGTAAATGATTCGTAAAAAGGTAATGATGCAAGAATTTGGTAAATATTGAATATAAGCTATGAGTTTTAAAGTTTTTATATGACAAGAGGGAAAATAGAATAAGGAAACGTAATGACAGATTGTTATGAAAAAACAGAAAGGATTTGCTGCAAAAATTAAAAATTAAGAAACAAAAGAGGGGAGGAGGAGGAAGTCTAGAAAGGAAGTCAATAGAGATTGTAAAGGACTTTATATTTTTGTTTTTCTGTTTCTCTTTTTTTCTCTTTGCGGCTGGGTTTTCTTTTCTTTTTTTTTTTTGTTTATGCACTAATTTTGTTTTTTGTATCCTTAAAATTTTTTTTTGGAAATTTTTGTTGTTATTCTTTGAAAATTCAATAAATATTAATTATAAAAAAAAAAGAAGTATAAGAAGGAATAAAGTATGCAAACTAGCCTATAAGTGAATAAACTACAGTATATTTTTAACTTACTCTCCTAATAATTTGTATATAAATTATAAAAGCGGTATATAAATTTTGTTAAATAAAAAAAGAGGAAATGTTCAGACTTTCAAACAGTATGTTATGCCTGAGCCTTCATTGCTGAAACTCCCAACAGCATTTTCATGCTCACAAACACCTGATGAAGGAACCATTGTGACATAACCCACTCAAGCAGAGTGAAGGGGCAACAGGCTGTCAACAGTGGCAGTTGCTGGGGGCTCCCATCTATTAAAAAGCCACAGAAAGTCTTTTCCTACTGCCTGAGGAATTAATCCCTTATTTAACACTCATAATTGCTGGATCAATTTAACAGGACTGGAGCTAACATTTGCTTGGATTTGGCACCATTGATAGGGAACTGCCTGCTGCGTCCTCCGCTTTGAAGTCACCCTGGTCTTTGGGCCTTCAGCACCTTCTTCAGCATGTCCAACCCATCTAAGAGGCGTATGATACTGGTGTTCCACTGGGTTAGGAAGAAGCCCCTGACAGAGAAGCCGTGCTCTACCATCTCGGCCAGACCTTCTGCCTCTGCACCGGCTTGCAACACTCCTCACATTGCACCCTACTTCACAAGGAGCAAGACACAACCCTCAGGAGGTCCAGCAGGCGCAAGGTGCTGTGATTGCCGAATCTCACCGACCCCAAGTTTTTAAGATCCGTCATTGGCAGCGTTGGCCGGAAGAGAGCCCGCAGGTGTGGCAAGCAAAAGAAGACTCCAGCGGGAACAGGAAATGGGGTGAGGGCTAGGCTAGAGGCAAGAAGGCTCCCAAGCTATTTGCGGGGTGGGATTGCTTTGGAAGATGCCTTCTCACAATCTCTACCCTTGAACCACGTAAGGACATAAGAAGTCCCTGCTGGATGAGGCCACATTGGCCTGTCTAGTCCAGCATCCTGTTCTCACAGTGGCCAACCAGAGGCCTGTGGAAACAAGAGCATTCTGTATTCCCTTCCTGCATCTTCCAGCAACTACTATTCACAAACGTTACTGCCACTGACTGTGGAGGTAGAGCAGAGCCATCGTGCCTAGTGGCCATTGATAGCCTTTCCTGCATAAAACCATCCACGTTGTTGGCCGTCACAGCCTTCTGTGGGATTGAGCTTCCAGAGGGGTAGCTGAGCATGCCTGTTGCAGGAAAAACAGGCATTAAAAGCACATTTCTCCCAAAGAATCCTGGGAATTGCAGTTTGTAAAGGGTGCTACAAATTGTAGCTGTGTGGTAGAAGGGTAATCTACAGTTCCCAGGATTCTTACAGGGGAAAAGTGATAATGCTTTTAATGTATGGTGTGTACACAGCTTCAAATTAGCTCCACCAGCTCTGTAATACTAAAGCAAAGATTATAATGCATATTGTTGTTGTTGTTGTACTTTTATAAATATTATAAAACCCATTCCTGCAAGCCATGTAGTCTGGAATAAACTCAGTCACCCCTCCCATCATTAATTGTTTCTACTAGGTGGGGAGGGGTGTTGGATCTGCTTCCCTGCCTTGAAGAAAGGCGCAGGTCATATGTGTGCCCAGACCTGGCCACGCTTCGCAAGAATCATAGAATCATAGAGTTGGAAGAGACCACAAGGGCCATCGAGTCCAGCCCCCTGCCAAGCGGGAAACACCATCAGAGCACTCCTGACATATGGCTGTCAAGCCTCTGCTTAAAGACCTCCAAAGAAGGAGACTCCACCACACTCCTTGGCAGCAAATTCCACTGTTGAACAGCTCTTACTGTCAGGAAGTTCTTCCTAATGTTTAGGTGGAATCTTCTTTCTTGTAGTTTGGATCCATTGCTCCGTGTCCGCTTCTCTGGAGCAGCAGAAAACAACCTTTCTCCCTCCTCTATGTGACATCCTTTTCTATATTTGAACATGGCTATCATATCACCCCTTAACCTCCTCTTCTCCAGGCTAAACATGCCCAGCTCCCTTAGCCGTTCCTCATAAGGCATCGTTTCCAGGCCTTTGACCATTTTGGTTGCCCTCCTCTGGACACGTTCCAGTTTGTCAGTGTCCTTCTTGAACTGTGGTGCCCAGAACTGGACACAGTACTCCAGGTGAGGTCTGACCAGAGCAGAATACAGTGGCACTATTACTTCCCTTGATCTAGATGCTATACTCCTCTTGATGCAGCCCAGAATTGCATTGGCTTTGTTAGCTGCCGCGTCCCACTGTTGGCTCATGTCAAGTTTGTGGTCAACCAAGACTCCTAGATCCTTTTCACATGTACTGCTCTCAAGCCAGGTGTCACCCATCTTGTATTTGTGCCTCTCATTTTTTTGCCCAAATGCAATACTTTACATTTCTCCCTGTTAAAATTCATCTTGTTTGTTTTGGCCCAGTTCTCTAATCTGTCAAGGTTGTTTTGAAGTGTGATCCTGTCCTCTGGGGTGTTAGCCACCCCTCCCAGTTTGGTGTCATCTGCAAATTTGATCAGGATGCCCTTGAGTCCATCATCCAAGTCGTTGATAAAGATGTTGAATAAGACCGGGCCCAAGACAGAACCCTGTGGCACCCCACTAGTCACTCTTCTTCAGGATGAAGAGGAACCATTGATGAGCACCCTTTGGGTTCGGTCAGTCAGCCAGTTACAAATCCACTGAGTGGTAGCATAGTCAAGACCACATTTTACCAGCTTCTTTACAAGAATATCATGGGGCACCTTGTCAAATGCCTTGCTGAAATCAAGGTAGGCTACATCCACTGCGTTCCCTTCATCTACCAGGCTTGTAATTCTGTCAAAAACGAGATCAGGTTAGTCTGGCATGACTTATTTTTCAGAAATCCATGCTGACTATTGGTGATCACAGCATTCCTTTCTAGGTGCTCACAGACTGTTTGCTTAATGATCTGCTCCAGAATCTTCCCTGGTATTGATGTCAGACTGACTGGGCGGTAATTATTTGGGTTCTCTCTTTTCCCCTTTTTGAAAATAGGGACAACATTTGCCCTCCTCCAGTCTGCCGGGACTTCGCCTGTTCTCCAGGAATTCTCAAAGATGACTGCCAGTGGTTCTGAGATCACATCTGCCAGTTCTTTTAATACTCTTGGATGCAGTTCATCTGGCCCTGGAGACTTGAATACATCTAAACTAGCCAAGTATTCTTGTACTATCTCCTTAGTAATTCTGGGCTGTGTTTCCTCTGCTGAATCATTTGCTCCAAATTCTTCAGGTCGGGCATTGTTTTCTTTATCGGAGAAGACTGAGGCAAAGAAGGCATTGAGGAGTTTAGCCCTTTCTGTGTCCCCTGTTTGCATTTCACCATCTTCTCCTCTGAGTGACCCCACTGTTTCTTTGTTCTTCCTTTTGCTACTGAACATACCCATAAAAGCCTTTTTGTTGCTTTTAACCTCTCTAGCAAGCCTGAGTTCATTCTGTGCTTTAGCTTTTCTGACTTTGTGTCTACACGTGCTGGCTATTTGTTTGAATTCCTCTTTGGTGGTTTCCCCCTTTTCCATTTTTGTACACATCCTTTTTAATCTTAACTCAGTTAAAAGTTCTTTAGATAGCCACCCTGGCTTCTTTAGGCACCTTCCATGTTTCTGTCTCATTGGTATTGCCTGGAGTTGTGCTTTTACTATCTCCCTCTTAACAAACTCCCAGCCATCATGAACTCCCTTTCCTTTTAGTATTACTGTCCATGGGATCTCACCCAGCACTTCCCTAAATTTTATGAAGTCGGCTTTCTTAAAGTCAAGAAATTGAGTCCTAGTATGCTTGGCTGCTCCTTTCCGCTGTATAGTAAACTTCAGAAGAGCATGATCACTCGCGCCTAATGATCCTTCCACTTCTACCCCACTAACCAGGTCATCAACATTGGTTAGGACCAGATGTAAAATGGCTGTTCCTCTTGTTGCTTCTCCCACTTTCTGGACAATGAAGTTGTCTGCAAGGCCAGTGAGGAATCTGTTTGACCTTATGCTCTTGGCTGAGTTTGACATCCAACAAATATCCGGGTAATTGAAGTCCCCCATTACTCCTATCTCCCTTCCTTTTGCATGCTTGGCCATCTGTTCCAGGAAGGCATCATCTATGTCCTCCGTTTGGCTTGGGGATCTATAGTAAACTCCCACAATGAGGTCACTGTTATTCTTCTCTCCCTTAATTTTGACCCAAATGCTCTCACTTTGGCTTTGAGGTTCTAAATCTTGGATCTCTTCACAGGTATACACATCCCTGACATATAACGCCACTCCTCCTCCTTTCTTGTCTGGTCTGTTTCTCTGAAATAGATTATCTCCCTCCATTATTACATTCCAATCGTGGGACTTATCCCACCAGGTTTCAGTGATGCCTATTATGTCATATTTAGTTTGCTGTACCAAGAGCTCAAGCTCATCTTGTTTATTTCCCATGCTTTGCGCATTAGTGTACAGACATTGAAGTCCATTAATCATTCCCCTGTGTCTCTTATTTAAGGATTTTTTCCTCACACCACTAGGTCTGCGTGCTGTTTGCTCCATTTGGACTATGACATTTGGATGATCATCTTCATCAATTGATAGACTCCTACCTTCAGGAGCACTGTCTCCCCCCCCACATTAGTCAGTTTAAAGCCCTCCTGATGAGGTTTCTGAGATTTTTGGCAAAAACATTCTTCCCAACCGTTGTGAGGTGCAGCCCATCGCTTGCCAGAAGTCCATCTTCAAGAAACTGCAGTCCGTGATCTAAGAATCCAAACCGTTCCTGTTTACACCATTTGCGAAGCCAGCTGTTCACTTCCACTATTTTTCCCTCTCTCCCTGGGCCACGTCGTTCAACTGGGAGGACAGATGAGATGACAATTTGTGCGTTTAATTGCTTCAATTTCCTGCCCAGAGCCTCATAGTCTCTTTTGATCTTCTGGAGAGGTGTGTTGGTTCAAGGTGGCCACGCTGCCTGCAACTTGCACTCCTTCCTGACGTGTCTTCCCCAAACCCCGTCTTCCAGAGGCTGTGTTGAAGTTTTCCATCACGTGGAACACAAACTCGCGGAACTATCTCGAGGCTCAGGCAGTGGTGGAAACCCTCCTCAAGCATGAGATGCCAGAGAGCCTCTTGCAATACGAAGGGATCAAAGCAGCTGTGGAGTCTCTCCCACCATTCACGGCACTTCCAGAGGCTGGGCCGGTTACTGCAGGCCTCCATGTTCCTTGATTTCATGTGACAAAACATGAAGTTGCCTGATGCCGCCCAGTGGGACGGGGAGATGGACACGTGATGAGCTTTATGTATTTATTTATTTATTTTTATTGAGGACAAATTAGAAAAAAATACAAATATACAAAAAAAGGAAAATACATGCAACCAATAAAAAATTAGAAAACATTTTACCTCTTCTCATATTTACAATTACCGGTATTTACATCTCTACAAAGCAATATTCACAATAAAGAAAAGAAATGAAAGGTAAAATATAAAAGAAAAGAACAAGAAGAAGATAAAGAAAAGGAAAAAATAAGATCAAGAATGAGAATTTTAAAAGTAGATAAGTATTCACTATACACAGCCATTTCCAATCTATATTTATGTTCAATTATGTATTTTCATCATATCCTTATCTATCTTAATTAAAATATTTTAAAAAGACTTCCACCGTTTGCCTCACAGGTTTTTGGTAGTCCATTTGTCAAAACCTCTGTTCTTCATATTTTTCCTTTGGGTCTCCTTAATGTCTCGCTTCGTATTTTTTATATTACTCACAAGATTACTCTAAACACAACCAGATTTTAGTAGCCGAGCCCTGGTTTTGTAAGTAATCATTTAAACACTCCCATTGCTTCATGACCATAGAAAGCAGCGCTTCCCCCCACCGCCAGCCCCACAAGCTCAGGGGGCAGTGGGAAGGCGGTGCGCAGCCTTTGCGCTGCTCCCCGACCTGGTCTTTGAGGCTGGCGGTCTTTGAGCAGCACTCCCCCCCCCCCCGGCCAGCCCCAAAGAGCAGGTCAAAAGGAACCCGAAGCCTCTGGAGCCCAGTGGGAACTCCCGCCGCGCTCCTGAGGCTTCTGGTTGCCTTCACTGAAGCTTGGAGAGTGAGAGGGGTCAGTGCGCTCCGGAGGCTTCGGGTGAATGCTCCTTGAATGGGCTCCATTTCTCCTGCCACTTCGCTGAAGGGGCACTGCACAGAGAGGGGGAGAATTTTTCTTTTCTTGTTCTCACCCTCTAAAACAAGGTGTGTCCTATGGTCCAGTGCGTCCCATAGAGCAAAAAATACGGGAGTTCAAACTCCCGGGATGAGGTCGGTAGAGGGGCATGCTGCGAAAGTTTGCGTTTTGTAGTCCCCTCTCACTGGACCTCATCTGCCTGCATATCCTCAGTCCTCAGGCGGACTGAGAGGGTTACCTGCCAAGGCCTGTGCCAAGTTTCCCACTTCTGAAGCTCAATAAAGTTGTGGCCAATTTGAACCCATACTCTGGTCTCTTGTCTCATCATTTGGGGTAAAAGGGTAGGTACCACAGACAGGGTTTAGCGTTTGTGCCCGCAAACAAAGTTCAGTTGTGTGGGTCTTCTGACAATCAGGAGTTATTGTCTCATCATACAGCCATTGGCAAATTGGTAATTAACCCAAAGAAATGATTGGTTCCTAAACCTGTATTCCACATGGCGTTCTCAAGGATAAAGGTTTGGGGAATTCAGATGCAAATTGCAGACAATCTTGCCATGCAAGTCGTCTTGCCATGCAGACCACCTTGCCGTGGTGTTCACCTGAGGGTGTTTGACCAGAAGAACGGATTTTGTGATTTTTTGCTAAGCTTTGACCTGTTGATCCTTTGTGTGTATGTTTTTAGTTACTGATATTTTGCAACATTTTAATTTTCTTGTTTGTAACCTTTTTAAAAATGTGCAAGCTTTTATTCTTTGAGTAGCTTTTTCAATAAATTTGGAAAAGGACTTTTGCCTTTTGTACTTTGTGCCTTTTTCTGGAGAAGCTAAGCCAGAGCCTGACCACTTGGTACACACTACCTGTTGGATTTCTGTCTGCGTCATGGTAAAGTGACACAGAGTTGGGCAACCCAGTGAATATTGAAGGGGAGTTCTCCTCCTTGGATTCCTTTCGAGGGTTGACCCGGATAAGGAGGTGGTGGCAGCTTACTACTGTTTTGACTTGTGCCTCACAACCCCTTCGTGCACCTACCCCTCTCTCTGCCAGGTCTTGCCAGAACTTGGAGGACTGGTTGGAGGGGGAGGATAGCGCATGCGATTGCTACACCATGTGCCTGAGACAGAACTGGAGAACAATCCTGCAGCCATTTTTTACTCTCCCAAATTGACCTCAAATATTTCTCTGCAAGGGGGAAGGAAAGGGGAAAACCTCCCAGTCTCTTTGATCACAAATCCTGTCCTAAGGGTGTATCTGTGTATGAATAGGGTGAGCCTGTGACCTGGATTCAGGAACTGAGTATTTTTTTTTTTTTAATAAATTTTTATTAATTTTCCAAACATAAGATAAGAAAGCAAACAATACACAAAACACCGACATACAAACATATAAACATGTATAATTTCATAGCCATTTTTCATAAACCTTACTTTCCGGACTTCCCCATACCTCCCCTTTTCTGCATCCTTGTTTTATATTTCTTCAGCAACTCCTCAATCAACTAATTATTCAATTCAATCTCTTTTAAGTTCTTCTAATATTTTTTTTTTTTTTAGTTACAGCTGCAGTTCTCTGTTTCCCAACCCCTTGACATTTTAACATTCCTGAATTTTACAACAAGTTCTAAGATAAACTTTAAATTTCTTCCAATCTTCTTCCACTGTCTCTTTCCCCTGGTCACGGATTCTGCCAGTCAATTCGGCCAGTCCCATATAGTCGATCACCTTCGTCTGCCATTCTTCCAGTGTGGGTAGTTGTTGTGTCTTCCAATACTTTGCTAGAAGAATCCTTGCTGCTGTTGTCGCATACATAAAAAACGTCCTGTCCTTCCTTCTCACCAATTGGCCGACAATGCCCAAGAGAAAAGCCTCTGGTTTTTTAGGGAAGGTCCATTTAAGAACCTTCTTAATTTCATTATAGATCATTTCCCAAAAAGCTTTTATCCTCGGGCAGGTCCACCAAAGGTGATAAAAAGTACCTTCAGTCTCATTACATTTCCAACATTTGTTATTGGGCAGATGATAAATTTTTGCAAGCTTGACTGGGGTCATGTACCACCTATACATCATTTTCATAATGTTTTCTCTTAAGGCATTACATGCCGTAAATTTAATACCGGTGGTCCACAACTGTTCCCAGTCAGCAAACATAATGTTATGACCGATATCTTGTGCCCATTTTATCATAGCTGATTTCACCGTTTCATCCTGTGTATTCCATTTCAACAGCAGATTATACATTCTCGACAGATTCTTAGTATTGGGTTCTAACAGTTCTGTTTCCAATTTTGACCTCTCCATCTGGAAACCTATTTTCCTGTCCTGTTTAAATGTCTCGTTTATCTGAAGGTAGTGCAACCAATCTCGCACTTTGGACTTTAATTTCTCATAGCTCTGTAATTTAACTTTTTCCCCATCTTGTTCTAGAATTTCACAATATTTTGGCCATTTAGACTCCATATTAAGTTTTTTCACCTCTTTAGCTTCCATTGGTGACAACCACCTGGGAGTTTTACTTTCCAATAGATCTTTATACCGAATCCAAACATTGTATAATGCTTTCCTAACAATATGGTTTTTGAAACCTTTATGCTGTTTTACCTTATCATACCATATATATGCATGCCAACCAAATCTATTATCAAACCCTTCTAGATCCAAAATATCTGTATTCTCAAGAAGTAGCCACTGTTTCAACCAGCAGAAAGCCGCCGATTCATAGTAGAGTCTTAAGTCCGGCAGGGCAAACCCCCCTCTATCTTTAGCATCAGTTAGATTCTTAAATTTTATTCTGGGCTTTTTGCCCTGCCAGACAAATTTAGATATATCTTTCTGCCACTTCTTGAAACAGTCCATCTTGTCCAAAATCTGCAGTGTCTGAAATAAAAACAACATTCTAGGCAATACATTCATCTTGATAACAGCAATTCGGCCTAACAAAGAAAGTTTCAACCTTGACCATATTTCTAGATCCTTCTTTACCTCTGTCCAACATTTATCATAATTGTCCTTAAATAAATTCACATTCTTAGATGTTAAGTTTACCCCCAGGTACTTTACTTTTTTCGTTATCACTAGTCCTGTTTCATTCTGAAACTTCTCTTTTTCGGCCAATGTTAAATTTTTATCCAACACTTTCGTTTTCTGTTTGTTCAGTTTAAATCCTGCTACTTGACCAAATATCTCAATTAGTTCTAATACTCTTTTAGTACTAGTATCTGGCTGTTGCAAGGTCAATACTAGGTCATCTGCAAATGCCCTTAACTTGTACTGTTTGGCTCCGACTTGTACTCCTTTAACCAACTGGTCTCCTCTAATCATATTTAACAAAACCTCCAGGACTAATATAAACAATAGAGGGGATATTGGGCACCCCTGTCGTGTACCTTTTTCTATAGGTATTTCTTCCGTTACCACATTATTTACAATTAACTTTGCTTTTTGTTTAGAGTATATTGCACCTATACCATTTTCAAACCCTTGACCTACCCCCATCCCTTGGAGATTCTTCTTCATAAAACTCCAACCAATATTGTCAAAGGCTTTCTCCGCGTCCACAAAAATTAAAACAGCCTTCCTATTAATGTCCACTTCTAACAGTTCCAAAATGTCTATAATGTTCCTCACATTGTCCGACATATATCTCCCTGGAAGAAAGCCAGTTTGGTCTTTATGAATCTCCCCTACCAACACTCTCTTCAGTCTTTTTGCCATAATGTCCGCAAAAATTTTGTAATCCACATTAAGTAATGATATAGGGCGGTAGTTTTTAACCTGGTTCTTTTCAGTCTCAGTTTTCGGTATAAGTGAGATAAAAGCTTCTTTCCACGACTCTGGTGCCTTTTTCCCCTCCAAAATTTCGTTACATACTTCCTTCAGTGGTTGTACTAACCATTCCTTCAACACTTTATAGTATCTGGCGGTCAAACCATCTGGTCCTGGAGCTTTTCCCAATTGCATCTTCTGAATGGCACCCTCTATTTCTTGTCCTGTTATTTTCTCATTCAAAATCCTTCTGCTTTGCTCTGAAATTTTTGGTAATCCATGTTTCTTAACAAATTCTTCTATTTCCTGTTCATTAACTGGCCCTTGTGCATATAATTTCCTGAAATAAGCTTGAAAACAATTACTTATCTCATTTGGTTTGTGGATAATCTTTCCGTCCACT